CCATAATCCTTTTGTGTGCACATGAAACCAAAATAGTGACTTCATTCAACATTTTCTTCTCCTCAGTGTCAGTATATTGTGCATGTACACGAGCACAGTGCAGTGACGTATCCCCACCCAGATGCCCGCACATGACTTTTTCTGTTTGCAAAAGCACAGGCGCATCTGAGGTATACATAAGCAGGACAGCAAGAATGACACAAACAGTGTTCTTGTGAACGTGCGCAATATACTGACACTGAGGAGAAGAGAACTGTTGAATACAGTTGTTGTTATTGTTGTTTTAATGTGCACAAATGAATTCTTGTCGTTTGATAATATTCCAATTGAACCACTGAGGCATATGGTTTGTTTTGAGGATGTTTTAAAAATATGTTGATGGATGTTTTGATGTGTCTGATTTGTTGAATGTTTTGGGGCCATTGCTGTCATACAGAATGAGGGAGCTGTCAGATTTCATCTAAAATATCTCCACTTGTGTTCGGGCAATGAACAAAGGACTCTGAAGTTCGGAATAACATGAGGGTGAGTAATTAATACAATCATCTTCATCACTGGGTGTCATCTTTTGTTTGTTTGTGTGTTTGTTTGTTTGTTTGTTTGGTTGGTTGTTTGTTTGGTTGGTTGGTTGGTTGGTTGGTTGGTTGGTTGTTTGTTTGTTTGTTTGTTTGGTTGGTTGTTTGTTCATTTGTTTGTTTAGTTGGTTGGTTGTTTGTTTGTTTATATGTTTGTTTGGTAGGTTGGTTGGTTGTTTGTTTGTTTGTTTGTTTGGTTGTTTGTTTGGTAGGAAGGTTGGTTGGATGGTTGGTTGGTTGTTTGTTTGGTTGGTTGGTTGTTTGTTTGTCTGGTAGGAAGGTTGGTTGGATGGTTGGTTGGTTGTTTGTTTGATTGGTTGGTTGGTCGTTCGTTCGTTCATTTAGTTGTTTGTTTGTTTGTTTGTTTGTTTGTTTGTTTGTTATGCCATGCCAGCTTCTGTAACCACTTTAGACTACTACATTAAGGTTTTACAATTGATTTTTGCTAAAAACTCCAAAACTGTATTTGGATTAACACTGTTAAAAATCTCTTCAAATGAATGTACTGAATAAAACTAATTCCTCACAGGACTAAAACCAACACAATGCAATAGAATGTGCTTCATCGTCGAAGTGCTTTTACAAATAGAGCATATGGGAGGATCTTCAAACTTGTGGGTAATCCTGGAGCTACCGATTCTACATTAGGGTAAAAACAATGCGATCTCACCTGTTGGAAAATTTATAGAAGTTTCTTTTTCCAACATTAGGGTTAATGTCATGAAGTTTGTTATTTGTATGTACACTCAAAAATGACATATGTTGTTTGTTCTAACTACTTATTTAAAATGAGCTGAAACAACACAATTTTTGAGTTTTTTTTTATTGTTTTATGTTGAATCTACTAAAGTTTGTAAAAAATTGATAGGCTTAAGCCCTTCATGTTACCCCAATACAAATTTCCCAGCTTTTCTTACAATGTACACTTAAAAATTACTTATGCTGCACTGAAAAAAATGATTTCAGCAAAATTGCTGCAAACAATTTAAATGAGTTGAATTTAAATAAGGGGACGAAGCAGTGGCACAGTAGGTAGTGCTGTCGCCTCACAGCAAGAAGGTCGATGGGTCGCTGATTCGAGCCTCGGCTCAGTTGGCGTTTCTGTGTGGAGTTTGCATGGTTTCCCCCACAGTCCAAAGCTCATGCGGTACAGGTGAATTGGGTAGGCTAAATTGTCCGTAGTGTACGAGAGTGTGTGTATGTGTGTGTGGATGTTTCCCAGAGATGGGTTGCAGCTGGAAAGGCATCCTCTGCGTAAAAACTTGCTGGATAAGTTGGCGGTTCATTCCGCTGTGGCGACCCCGGATTATTAAAGGGACTAAGCCGACAAGAAAATGAACGAATGAATGAATTTAAATAAACAAATTAACTATAGTAATGCTCAACTTAATTTGTTTGTTTAAATTCCTTAATTTGTTTGTTTAAATACTTTTTAAAAAATGTAGTAAATCCAAGGAATCATTTTTAAATATTTTTTTCAGTGTGCTTGTTTTAACTTACTCATATATTCAACTTATTTAAAATGAGTTGAAACAACACAATTCAAGTTTTTTTGGGGGACAACTCAATTGTTTTATGTTCAATCCACTTAAATTCTTAAAATGTAACACTTAAATCAAAAAAATGTAAAGAAAGAAAGATGAAGTTAACTTAATGTACTTGTGTTAGAACAACATGAAAGAATTGTGCAGAACACAGAATCTTCTTACAGTGTGGATCCCCTTCCAGTTGTTATTGTTGTTTGAACACATTGTTGGTTTTAGATCCAAAGGAGGTAGTGACAAGTTTTGGAGATTGTCAACTCTCAAAAAATTATATTTTGCTGCTTGTTGAAACTACTTATTTAATAAGAAAATTGTTAGGGATTTTTGGGACAACTTAAAACTGTGGTGGGCGACGCAGTGGCGCAGTAGGTAGTGCTGTCCCCTCACAGCAAGAAGGTTAGCTGGGTCGCTTATTCGAGCCTCGGCTCAGTTGGCGTTTCTGTGTGAAGTTTGCATGTTCTCCCTGCGTTCGCGTGGGTTTCCTCCGGGTGCTCCGGTTTCCCCCACAGTCCAAAGACATGCGGTACAGGTGAATTGGGAAGGCTAAATTGTCCGTAGTGTATGAGTGTATGTATGAATGAGTGTGTGGATGTTTCCCAGGGATGGGTTGCAGCTGGAAGGGCATCCGCTGCGTAAAAACGTGCTGGATAAGTTGGCGGTTCATTCCACTGTGGCAACCCTGGATTTATAAAGGGACTAAGACGACAAGAAAATGAATGAATGAGTGAATAAAACTGTGTTGGGACAACATGAAGTAATTGTGTAAAAGCCAGTATTTATTTACAGTGAATAGCGCTTTGATTTTTAAATTAACTAACCCTTTAATTTGATTAATCAGATCCCATTCTCTTTGCCATTTATTATTTATGTACACTCACTGGCCACTTTATTACGTACTCCTGTCCAACTACTCATTAACACAAATTTCAAATCAGCCAATCACATGGCAGCAACTCAATTTAGGCATACAGACATGGCCAAGACGCTCAGAGGAGAATGGCCAGACTGGTTCGAGCTAATAAAAGCAACAGTAACTTAAATAACCACTCGTTACAACAGAGGTATGCAAAAAAACATCTCTGAACGCACAACACATCCCTCCACGGATGGGCTACAGCAGCATAAGACCACACCGGATGCCACTCCTGTCAGCTAAGAACAGGAAACTGAGGCTACAATTCACACAGGCTCACCAAAATTGGACAATAGAAGAATGGAAAAGCTTTGCCCGATCTGATGAGTCTCGGTTTTTGCTGCAACATTCGGATGGTAGGGTCAGAATTTGGCGTCAACAACATGAAAGCACAGAGCCATCCTGCCTTGTATCAAAGGTTCAGGCTGGTGGTGGTGGTGTAATGGAATATTTCCAGTACCTTGTTGAATCTATGCCATGTAGGATTAAGGCAGTTCTAAAGGTAAAAGGGGGTCCTGAGGGTGTGAACAAACTGTTGGTTTTAGATTCAAAAGAGGTACTGGACACATTTTGTAGTTTCTCAATAGTGCTTATATTTTTGGGTGAACTAACTCTTAATTCTGAGATTCATTTATGTTCTTCTCTCTCTTTCTCTGCTAGTGGTTAAAGTGCGTCTATCTAAACTGAACTCCAGCAGTTCTGTCTTGACCATGTTCTTTTTGGGGTCTCGGTTGGAGGTGCTAAAACACGGCCCGCTGCTGGGAGGAGAAATGAGGAGCCGTTTGACATTGTGGCTGGAGCGAGATGCCACTTGTGTGGGCAACCTGACCCGCAACCACCCCAACGGAGGAACCTTCCTGTTGACAGGCACTGTGACGGGCAAGAGGCTGCTGGTCAATAAAGCTTTTAGCTGGGGAAAACGACAGCGCCACCTCAACCAAGCAGCACGCAAGTGGAAAAGCCATCGGTGTAGAGGGTAGAGATGCAGACGACCAGACTTATATTCTTATCTCAGAGTGTTCATAATGTTGTAAATAATAGAGGATTCTTTTCTATATTTTTTAAGCCTTAAGATATTAAATGATTTCAAATGCTTGTTTTGAAACTGTGTCTCAATGTTTTCATTTTGGTCACATTTTAGGGTCATTTTTAAAAGGATAGTTGAAAATTCTCTCATTATTTATTCTTCCTCTGCTTGTTCCAAACTTTGACTTTCTTTCTTCTGTTGGACACAAAAGAGGACATTTTAAAAAAGTCAGAAAACTGTTACTATTGACTTCTGTAGTATTTATTTTGTTTGTTTTTCTACTGTAGAAGTCAAGTTTCCAGCTTTCTTCAAAGTATCTTCTTTATTGTTCAACAAAATAAACTCATAAAGGTTTGGAATCATTTGAGAGAAAATAAATAATGAGTACATTTTGGTTTTGGAGTAAACTATGCCTTTAATTACACCTGTAAGAAACGAGTCTAATGCGAAATTTGAAGACTAGGAGAAAACAGTATTGACAAAAAAATCCTAATATTATCTATAACAGGAGTGGCCAACCCTGTTCCTGGACAGCCATGTTCCTGCACATTTCAGTTGCAACCCATATCAAACACACCTGCCTGTAATTATCACGTGGTGTTCAGGTCCTAATTAATTGGTTCAGGTGTGTTTGATATGGGTAGCAACTGAAATCTGCAGGAAGATGGCTCTCCAGAAACAGGGTTGGCCACCCCTGATCTATAATAATAACTTTTGATAAAAGTGCAATAATTTAATAAGTTATTTAATGACAATCACATCATATTTTATTCGGCCTGTCATGGATAAATGTAACACAAAAAAAGTAGTGCTGGCAAAAAATAATCACACCCAAAATAAAAGTTTGACAATTTAATAGCTAAATTTAATATATAAATACACAAAGACATGCATATATTTAAGAACATGTTTAATTACATTTAGATATAAAATATAAGTGTATTTAGTACAAATTATATATCAATTTAAACATCTATGCAACAAAATTGATATGTATAATTTGTGTAATAATAAATACATAAAATACACACACATACAGTTGAAGTCAGAATTATTAGAATAATAATAAAAGTTAGATTTTTTAAAATATTTCCCAAATGATGTTTAACAGAGCAAGGAAATTTTCAAAGTATGTCTGATAATATTTTGTTCTTCTGGAGAAAGTCTTATTGGTTTTATTTCGGCTAGAATAAAAGCAGTTATTAATTTTTTTTAAAACCATTTTAAGGTCAAAATTAATAGCCCCTTAAGCTATTGTTTTTTTTCGACAGTCTACAGAACAAACCATTATTGTACAATAACTTGCCTAATTACAATAACCTGCCTAGTTAACCAAATTAACATAGTGAAACCTTTAAATGTCACGTTAAGCTGTATAGAAGTGTCCTGAAAAATATGTAGTAAAATATTACTTACTGTCATCATGACAAAGATAAAATAAATCAGATTTTAGAAATGAGCTATTAAAACTATTATGTTTAGAAACGTGTTGAAAAAAAATCTTCTGTCCGTTAAACAGAGACTGGGGAAAAAATAAACAGGGGGCGAATAATTCAGGGGGCAAATAATTCTGACTTCAACTTTATATATTATGTCAAAACAAACTTTCATTTTAGATCCGATTAACTAAGATCAATCTTTGCCCGACACTAAAAAAAAGTATGGTGCAGCAAGTTCCAGTCTAATTGAGTGTTTTACTGACCTGTTCATTCAAACAATTCATTCAAAGCATAAATTAAATTGTTAAATTTTATTGTTTATGTTAAATTGAAGCTACTGACTTTATGAATGGAGCAATTGATTATTGCCTCAATTGTTTAGTTCAGAAATTTCTACAATGAAACATTAGGGTGTTGCTCTGAGACTGTCAAATCTTCTGCTCCAACCTTGTTTGGAACTTATTTCATAAAGTAAACAGACAAAATTCTGAAAATAAATCTAAAATGTAAATGAATCAATATGAATTTCTTGCTTCAAAATAATATTAGGTTTGTTTTAAAAATGCTCATATTAAGGAAACAACACTCTTGTGTGTGATATAACTTAATACATAAACAACGTCCATTTCATAACCTTTCATAATCCATTTAAAGGTATTCTTGTTTTCATCATGTTGATAATAGGGTCTTTCTATCTGCACGCTTTTAGACTATAAAGATGCTTGAGAGATACTGGATGATTCCAGTTCACACACAATAAATGACAACAGATTCAATATTATTGTAGATTAGAAATTATCCACACCCATATCCTAGAGTTAATATATAAAAATAATGAATCTGTATGGCTCACCAAACAGCAGTGGTTTCAGGCTGAGGGTGCGCATGTTATGTGTCCGGTCAGGAACAATGGAAACTCTTTGCACATGCCCAACCTGAGCAAAGAAAATAAAACACACAAATTGCATTACTTCAATTTGATTACACACACATGAATAAAACTGACAGACTCACTAATAAACGAAGGAACGTTTTAAAGAGCTGATATAAACATTAGCTTTAAAATAAGGTTTCATTCGTTTATTTATTTACTAGCATGGACTAATTTTGAACAAAGCTCGAACAGCGTTTATTAATCAACACTTACTAATGCATTATAAACATCTAAATTCATGCTTGTTAACATTAGTTACTGCAGTTAACATGAACTAACAATCAACCTTATTGTAAAGTGCTACCCCGTAACGTGCATCTCATCGCTAAAATAAATTATAACGTTGATTATTTGAATTCTAGATAGCAATAAACTGCTTTTCAATGAAGGTTTAAATGACATATATTGTTAACTAACACTAAAACAGAAGGGCCATTAACATAACACAATTTTCAACTAAAAGTTAACTTTATTACTTTTTATTATTGTTTTTGGGGGGCATGAAAATGCTAACTTTTGCAAATGAGCTTCAGAGTTCACGTTTTTAAAACAACATGTTTTAGGTATGTGGTCTTTAGATGAAACCAGAATTATTAAATCGTCTTTGAATTTTTTATATATATATATATATATATATATATATATATATATATATATATATATATATATATATATATATATATATATATATATATATATATATTTCCCAAATAATGTTTAACAGAGCAAGGAAAATTTCACAATATGTCAGATAATATTTTCCTTTTGGAGAAAGTCTTATTTGTTTCATTTTGGCTAGAATAAAAGCAGTTTTAATTTTTTTATAAACCATTTTAAGGTCAAAATTAATAGCCCCTCAAGCTATTGTTTTTTTCAACAGTCTACAGAACAAACCATCATTATACAATAACTTCCCTAATTACGCTAACCTGCCTAGTTAATCTAATTGAGCCAGTTAAGCCTTTAAATGTCACTTTAAATGTCATGCTGTACAGAAGTGTCCTAAAGAATATCTAGCGAAATATTATTTACTGTCATCGTTCATTCATTCATTTTCTTGTCGGCTTAGTTTCTTTATTAATCCAGGGTCGCCACAGCGGAATGAACCGCCAACTTATCCAGTAAGTTTTTACGCAGCGGATGCCCTTCCAGCCGCAACCCATCTCTGGGAAACATCCACACACACATTCACACACACACTCATACACTACGGACAATTTAGCCTACCCAATTCACCTGTACTGCATGTCTTTGGACTGTGGGGGAAACCGGAGCACCCGGAGGAAACCCACACGAAGGCAGGGAGAACATGCAAACTCCACACAGAAACGCCAACTGAGCTGAGGCTCGAATTAGCGACCCAGCGACCTTCTTGCTGTGAGGCGACAGCACTACCTACTGCGCCACTGCCTCGCCTACTGTCATCATGGCAAAGATAAAATAAATCAGTTATTAGAAATTATTTATTAAAATTATTACTACTTCTCTCCGTTAAACAGAAATGGGGGGGGGGGGGGTTAATATCCTTCAACTGTATGAGCCCTTGAAAAGTAAAACAGTGATTCAAAACTTCAAATTTTCAACACAAATATCACCAATTATTGGCATGCCATGACGATTAGAGTTTTAGTGATTTTTTTTAATGGATGTATGCCAATGTGGACCATTACAGCATAATTGTTGTCTGTATTCAAACTTTTAAAAAATTTGCTTCATCTTTAGGAAAAAAAAACAAATCCAGTGAAGGTAAATAAAAAAATAAACCTAAAAAAAACAATGAAAACTAGAAATGTTGGCAACTAACTGAAATATAAAGTTTACATTGTAGTACTAAAATGACAAAAATTAAAAAAAATAATCAAATAATAAATTTATAAAACTTTAAGTTTAATGACAACTGAAAAAATGAAAGATGTTTTTTTACATACTACAAAATATATATAATTATTACCCATGCTGAAACAATATATTACTATGCATTTGTCTAAATGTCTTCAACCACTTATCCCTCTTTAATAAATAAATAAATAAATAAATAAATAAATAAATACAAAATTCTGAAGCAGTTTTGATTAAATTTTAATTATTCATGTTTTAAATTCTATTAGCAACACATTACACTTTAAAAAGTGAACAGTTGTATGTTTTTGGCAACATTCTAAAACACGTATGGATCAAAATGAGCGATGCTGTGGCACAGTAGGTAGTGCTGTCGCCTCACAGCGAAAAGGTCACTGGTTCAAGTCTCGGCTAGGTCAGCTGGCATTTCTGTGTGGAGTTTGCATGTTCTCCCCGTGTTTTGATAGGTAATATGCATTGCTACACTGTAAAAAAATAAGGTGATTTAACTTAAGCCAAGTGCAGTACTTGGGTAAAAAGTGTTCAACAACTTAAACAAAATCTATGCAGCAAGTTGCTCTAGAGCAATTCCAACGTTACGGATGTGACATCTGCAATAAAAACTCAACACATAAATTCACAAAGAAAGCACACGTTAACATTATGTTGAAACATCTGTTTATATTGTCCAGAACAGCTGACCACAGAGTTAAGGCACCAGAGAAATATCAATCTGTAAACATGTTTTGTACTTTAAATGAGGGAAATAAACATGCGTTTAATTTGTAGATATTTTGTGAATTAAACGGCACAATCCAAAATAAATAATGCTAATCAACAGGATAAGAGTTGGCTCACTATAGAACAAACATGATTGACTTTATTTTATTTAATATTTTTGTATTTAGGACAAAAAAAGTGTCATTATGGATGTGACTTCTCTGTTATGGATGTGACAGATGTGAAATTCCCACTTGTGTGACACTGTAAAAAGCAATTAGTTACTTTGCTGTTAAAGTAAACCCATTGCCTTAAAAGCAAACCGTTGATTTTACTTTTAAAAAGTCAATAAAGCAATTGACTCAAGTTTTCTAATTATGCACATAGCTTGTTTATTATAAGACACCGAGTTTACTCTCTTTTTTAACTTATCGCTTTCTACAGTGTATTGATTCTGCTTTCAGCTGATGTGCCTCAGTTTCAAAAACTGTACCCTTAGGATTGGTTTTGTGGTCCTGAACGACCATTAGTTGTATTTAAACATTTTAAATACATATTTCAAAAACACTTTAATTTGTAGCAAACAAATAAATCGGATTAAATCCTAGTTTGAAACACACACAACACACTGCACAATCTCTCAGTACAGAGTATGATAAGCACGTTGTATAATAAGGGCCGGTGAATAATAATAACGCGTGTACCCGAATGCCCTCCAGGCGGGGCAGCTGGAAGGACATCTCCGGGCTCAGGTGTGCTGCTGATGAGGGGGTCTGGTGCTCGGCAGGCACGGCTCGCGGAGAACCAGGACTCTTTTCCAGTGGGACGTCCTGCTCCCCGGAGCCCGTGTTATAGTGCACGTACAGGAGCAAAGCGATGATGTTAATGATGTAGAGGTGGAAGAAGGCCATGACCACCACGAAATAAGCCCTGGAGCACACGCTGCTCTTCTGTATGTGGATGCGCTCCCGGCCCACCCGGTGTCGTGGTGGCGGGGGGAAAAAATCCGAGTCCCCTTCGAACTCGTGCAGACTGTCCTTATACTCACCCATCTCCAAAATCACTGGACAAATCTAAACCCTCATTTCAGTAGAGGCTGATTAACAGCTCTGCCTCTAGATTTGTTATTGTTATTTATTATTATTATTATTTCAGATATTACGACTTCATGGCGATACAGATGTTGCAGATTTTGACCGAGAGAGGTCCATCTAGTGTTTAGATTTTGATAAGCGATCTGTGCAGGAATGTCTTCAGGCTGAACTAACGTAACGTTAGAGGAGAGATTTAGGACGATGTCAGCTCTTTTAAAGCACTATTTAAACCCACCCGGAGATTAAATCTGACCAGTTTTACTCATAATAAAAGATTCACAGCAATAAAGAGTAAAAACGCGCAATTCTTGCAGAGGCGGAGAATAAAAACATCAACAGGGTTTACAGTCAGCTGTCATTCGGCCTGAAAACACCGCGAAGCAACCCACGCTAAGCTACAAATGCCGATTCGATTAGGGTTTTCAAAATAAAAGTATTTTAAAAGGACTTTTATTTTAGGACTACTTTCATACTTAACGTTTGCCAGACTAATATACGTTGCTCAGCATATTTAAGTACACGTATACCCCTCAAAAATCTATTTTTTTTATTTATATTTTTAATAAGAAACTATACAATATTATATTTGTGCATACATTAGATCAGGAGTCACCAACCTTTTTGAAACTAAGAGCTACTTCTTGGGTACCAATATCACTGTGAAGAGCTACCAGTTTGATACACACTCCTAAAATAACATTTTTTTTTTTCAATTTAGTTTTAATTATATGTTGTTATTATTAATGACTAATGATATTCATATATGTGAAGACACTGATCATGTTAATGATTTCTCACAATATTTTTCAACAATGATACAATGATTTAACAAGGTAAGAAACAGAAACATCTATATGCAACACTTTATTTGTCTGAAATATATATATATATATATATATATATATATATATATATATATATATATATATATATATATATATATATATATATATATATATGAGTTAATGACCTTAATGTCATTAACTCATTTTACACCAATGCAGGTGTGATTTAAAAAGAATAGCTTTAAAAAATACTACATTAAGCTAACTAGTATGTGGTGCAATGGTGCAATGTTGGTGACCCCTCATTAGATTAGTCAGTACTGAAGCCAGATCTGCAGCTTATCTAACAAAGACAAACGTACAACAACAGTCCAAAAAGTACTATTACACTATAAATTTATGTTATAGAAAAATTCATTCATTCATTTTCTTTGCGGCTTAATCTGGGGTCACCACAGCGGAATGAACCGCCAACTTATCCAGCTCATGTTTTACACAGCGGTTGTCCTTCCAGCCGCAACCCATCTCTGGGAAACATCCATACTCTCTCATTCACTCACATACACTATGGACAATTTTGGTTTACTCAATTTACCTGTACCACATGTCTTTGGAGCTGATTGGTAAACCAGAGCACCCAGAGGAAACCCACGCCTGTTATTTAAAAATATTAAATACAAACTTTAAAAAGAGAAAAAATCAAGAAAAGCAAAAAAAAAAATTATTTGAAATTTTGTAGGTTGCAATTTATTTTTGCAATATTTTGCTTGAATTTAATTGTATAATCTTTCAATTTCTAAATATGTTTGGGATCTAAAATATTATTTTTATAAATATATCTGGTTAATATATCTGTTTTGTTTAAATGCACCAAAAATGCACTGATTCACTGAGAAATTGATATAAATATTCATTTTCAAAATAGAGCGTGCTCAATTATCCTGAGCACAGTTTAGCAAACATGTATAAAAGTAGTGTAGGTGCCAGATTACCCCCAATAACCAACATTTTTAACTTTTCCACAAGAACATCCCTGGGTAAGCTGAATTGTCTGTAATGTATCTGTGAATGTGTATGGGTGTTTTCCAGTGATGGGTTGCAGCCGTAAGGGGATCTGCATCATAAATCATATGCTGGATAACTGATGGTAAGCTTTGATTTGGCCCACATTCCCATATGAGAACAGCTTAGAATGATGGGAAGGTTGGGGCGAATGCTTTAACAGAGATCATAATTTCTAATTTTTTTTTTTTTAGGAACCAATCACACAACTTTTATTTGGTCAATGGACTTATAACCAACTGTAAACAAATTCAACAAAGCAACTTCATATTTCAGCTTCTGAAATCAATTTAAGGTCACAATTTTATCGTTTTTTTTGGCTTGAAAAAGGAACAAAAAACAGTTGTGAAAAGTTTTGAAAATTATAATGCTACAGACTTTTCTCTTACTACAGGAGAGGAATACATTTACACAAGGGTGCTTCAAGTATATTTATATATCTCTATACTCTCAGGTGTTAAGGAGGAAGAGGAATTTTACATTCGTCATTTAACATATCCTTTTGTTTGTTTTTTTTAATTGTTGGACTACAAAAAAAGCCAACGAAATGAAATGTTGTAATTAAATATTATGCATGTATCAGATGTTTAAAAATGTAAATACTGCCACTCGAAGATAGAGGAGAATGCACAAGGCATTGTGTATTCAGCATTGAACACCATTGTGTTATAAGTGTGTTTGTTTATGTTTTTGTTATAAGACGTTCATTATAATATGTAAAATTATTAATATATATTAATATATATTAATATATATATATATATATTGTGATATATATATATTTATAATTGTGATATATATATTTATAACTTAGTTTTTATTGATTTTTTTAGGAACATATAACCAGTGGGAACAAAACAAGCAAGTAAAAAAAAATACACATATACATAAATATACACATGTATACATACTTGTATAGGCAAATACATCCATTCCACACATGCATATCCATATACACACATGCATAAAAATATTAAATTAACCTCATCAAAATACATAAATAAATAAATAAATATAAAATAAATTATAATAAAAGGTTGCCAAACATATTTTCACAATGATACCTCTAGAATTATGTAAATTTTCAGTTATAAATAATTATATTGTTGTTAAGGAGAAAGCCACCCATTTACTCCGTTTCTTTTCAAAGGTTTCTAATTGTAATCGAAGTGCATGTGTCATTTTTTCCATTTCCTTTATTAAAGTATGTTTTATATTTATTTCTAAATATTAACACATCAGGAAATTACCATTGCAACTTTATTGGTATAATTACCTTTGGCACACCACCCTCAATCAAAATTTTTTTGTTGTTGTTGGCCCTTCATAAGCAAACGTTTGGGCACCCCTGTATTATTCTTTCGCTCAAACATTTCCAGCACAGCGAGTTTGAAAAAACCTGCAGGTTTGGTACATTGACTGCCTTTTTACCGTTCTGACCAGGAGAGGTCACCAGCTTCATCACTAGAAACTGAAGATTGAGGAAGAGCCCTGCTAGGTTTTGGTCCTGTGACGAAGAGAGGCGTGGCTTGAGGCTCCGCCCACTAGTACTCCTGTGACACCAGAGAGCAGACCTGAACCCCAGGAGAACATACCAGAAAACCCCCGAGCAGACCAGACGCAGACTATCACACACAGCCGATAAAGTCATGTAAGTGTGCGCTTTCTGTGGGAAATATTTGATCTGCTTTACGCCAAACACATCGCTCGTTACTGAAACCAAAACCAAGTAAGTTAGCTGAGGACTGTGAAGCTTTTCGCTAGCCGACGTTAGCTACTTCTGTACGACTCATTCAGTCCTCTCGTAATCGGCAAACTACGCAGTAATTCAGCGGGAGTCTTTAGTTAGTTTATTATACGGTCTATCTAACAGCATTAAAAGGGGAGTATATTTGATTTATTTGTTGAATGAAGTGTAAAAGTATGTTAGCGCTTTAGCCTGTACCAGCTCACCGGTGGTGTTAGCATGTTGCGTCCTTTGCCACCCAAGTCACTTCAGAAGCACACACAAACACAATGTAGTTTATTTATTTATTTGTTTCTGTCGACGAACTAGCCCAAAGAGTTGTTGATGTGCGGGAGTTGATCAGTTTCGATTACGGAAGAATGAGTTGCGAGAATGAGCGCGCCGCCCGCACGTGCTGCAGGGCCAGAGAACTGCAGGCAATGAATGAATGAGTTACAATAACACCCATTCAGTGAGCCTACTACTGAAACACTGGGGCTAACTGAACGTTCATGTCGAATTCTTTCACATAGTCCAATAATGTGTGCAGAGTTTGTGTGAGTGCTTATTTCGCAATCGCTTGTAAAAGTCATTTACACTAAATTAACCTGCATTTTTTTATTGTTTATTATTTAAATATGACCAATCAGTGTAAAAATGTCAGCATTAATCATGATTATCATTATATCTGTCTATGACACTTTAAAATCTTTGTTTTCTCCGGTTGTACAATTCAAGTTAATGTGTTTGAGTGAAAAAAAAGTGAACAATTTGTAAAAATAATGACAAAGTTATCTCAAAGTCCAAATACATGGTGTCCACCAGGTCTTAAAATGTCTTAAATTCAAAAAATATTTTTTTTGCATTAAAAAGTCTTAAATTCATTGAAATATGTTTTGCAGCAGGTCTTAAATAATCTTAAATGAGTCTTAATTTTTCTGTTTATGCAAAGCTACCTGGTTGATCCAACACATCTCAATAAAACTATTATTTATAACTAATATTATAACGGTGTGTTTTGCATATGTTAAATGTCTACCTGACACAAGCAGACCTTTTAAAATTAGTAATTTGTTTTCATTCATTAATTTTCTTGTCAGTTTAGTCCCTTTATTAATCTGGGGTCGCCACAGCGGAATGAACCGCCAACTTATCCAGCAAGTTTTTATGCAGCGGATGCCCTTCCAGCCTCGACCCATCCCTGGGAAGCATCCACACACGCATTCTCACACACTATGGACAATTTAGCCTACCCAATTTACCTGTACTGCATGTCTTTGGACTGTGGGGGATACCGGAGCACCTGGAGGAAACCCACGCGAACACAGGGAGAACATGCAAACGCCAACTGAGCCGAGGCTCGAACCAGCGACCTTCTTGCTGTGAGGCGACAGCGCTACCTACTGCGCCACTGCCTCGCCCAGTAATTTGTTTTAAGTAATTCAAATATGTTGCTAAGAAACTAATTAGAATTAGTTTTTTTGATGGGGGCAAGTAAATTTTTTTTTTATTGCTGGGCCATTACAAAAAAGCCTATGTAAGTCTAAAGTTTCATTCTTGATTATCTTAAAAAGTCTTGAATTTGGCTTAGTGAAACCTGCAAAAACCCTGAAATAAATAGATTGAGAGTATTAATTTGCAGAAGATGAAAATACACAAAAGCATGCAATGTTTTTTGGACCCACAAGTAATACAGTCAAAACAATTATTATATACATTTTTAAACAGCACTATACTCATGTTTTAGCTTGGAAAGGGATCATAATAGGGCTGGGCGATTGATCGAAAAGTAGCCGAAATCGACATTCAGAACCTATAATCGATCTAATTTTATGCGATGCCTTTAATTTTTGTATTTTAATAATGCCTTTATGTATTATTTATTTACATTTAAATTGTTACATTAAAATATTTGTTTATAGAAGATGCAGGAAATGCACTGTCTAAAATATTATTTACAGAATATGCAAGAGTTGTTTTATTTAGAAGAGATACTGCTTATTTTCTACTTTTAATATGAAAAACATTAAAAATATATATTTCATTTTGTTTCTTAAAGTTATTTATTTTCAATTGTTTTATAAGAAAAAACTGTCGGTTGTTTTAGGCAATGTGTGTTTTAATTTCAGTTGTTCAACCTTGATGTTCGGTAAATAATCATAGATGGTAGGTAGTGTGTGTGTGTGTTTATTCAAACATCTCTTACTTGTAATATGTGAGCACATTTATTGTACAAAACTCGTCAGTAAACTATGTGGGTTAAATAAAATAATTTACACGAATAAAATAATCGCTGGTTAATCGTTATCGAGTTAAAATGTTTAATTAATCGAGATGTGGATTTTAGGTCAAATCTCCCAGCCTTAGTTCATAAAACCGTTGATTTTAGTCACAGCCTTCATCTGTCTTGGCATAATGTCAATCAGAGTTTTTACTGTGCTGTCATGTGAATTTAAAGAATTTGAGCAGCTCTGGTGGCTTGTTTTTAGAAAATGTAATGGATCAATACATGCCCAAACACTCTATGGGGGTTAAATTAAGGTGATTTATTTCATTCGATGTCCAAATTAATTTCATGCACTGCTGGTACTCTGGTTATATTGTATTGTTAGAATCCTGTAAGCATGTTGAGTTATTAATGTGCTCTGCTGGTATTTTCAATCTATTACAGATTTCTGTGTTTGTATGGGCATGAACTGTACTTTCATATATGTATTTCTTGTAATTATAAATATTTCTTTTTCATTAAAATTCTTCAAGTGTTTACATGTTTCAGAGTACAAGCGCAGGTCAGTCAGTTCTGGAGGGGAATTTGATACACCATCTTTTTAAAAAGGAGCAGATTGAAGTGGTGTGATGTTGGTGTCTGTGCTCTTTCCAGACCTACTTATTTGAGACAATTGAGTTTTTCCCACTAGCTCATCTGCTACTAATGTTTGTTAGAAATATTAATAATTAATAATTAATGTTTCTTTATTGGATGATGCTTATATTGATATCTGAAAAAAAACAAGCAGTTGCATTTTTTCATGATTTATACAATTGTAGGTTAAGGTTGACATATAAGCTAATATCATTCGTTCATTCATTCATTTTCGGCTTAGTCCATTTATTAGTCTGGGGTTGCCACAGTGGAATGAACCGCCAACTTATCCAGCATATGTTTCACGCAGAGAATGCCCTTCCAGCTGCAACAAGCTAATATCTAATAATACAAATATTAATGTCAAAGTCATGAAAAATATTCAAAGTCCAAATTTGGTTTTGGCCCTTCCCAGAGATAGGTTGCGGCTGGAAGGGCATCTGCTGCGTAAAACATATGCTGGATAAGTTGGTGGTTCATTCCGCTGTGGTGACCCCAGATTAATAAAGGGACTAAGCCGAAAAGAAAATGATGAATGTTTTTGCCCATTACTTATAATTGATAGTTTGAGGTGTTTCTGTTTGTTCAGTCTTTCATGTAAATGAGCTTTCTTCTTCAGGCACCCAGCAGCAGCTAAGTGGTATGACAGGCGAGACTTCGTCTTCATTGAGTTCTTGGTGGAGGACAGCAAAGACGTGAAAGTAAATTTTGACAAGTCCAAATTTGGTTTTAGGTATGTCATTTCAACATCTATTTAAACACCAACATTGTCTTATTGTCATTGTTTCTAGATATGTTTGTTTACACAGCTAAGTTATCCTAAAAACGGAATTGTCATTTTTTAAAAGTTTTGCACATGAAGAGTTTTTACAAAGTATTATCAAATAAAAGTCTTATTGGAGGCACAGAATGCAAACACTGAACCACATGAAGCTTGCATATACATTTAGAGTACTGCAGACTGCAAGAAGTTATAACA